CTCTTTCCCCCATCTCAGTCTTTTCCTACATGCAACTCTTTTTCCGATACTAAGATAAAGACTACTGAATACAAAAGGAGAAAGACATAAGGAAAAAAAAATCAGGTCTGAGTTTTGGTTATGGCTTTTTACTTAGTTTGTTTTTTTTTTTTCTTTGTAATATAGCTTGGAAAATTAATGATAAGAAGGCAGGAATTTTGAGAAGGTAGAACAATCTAGAGATCTGCTAAAGCCATGGTGTTTGCATGTTTTTAAATTTGTAAGACAATGATTTGGAATATTCTTTATACAGAAAAATCTAAAGAGATGAAACAAGGATTAGAGAAAAAAGGATAAAGACATGAGATTTATGTTGTAATCCACTCAAAATAACAGTATACCTGGAAAAATATCAAGGATTATCTTAACTGAGTTTGCAACATTAAGGATAGTAAATGGAATATGCCAAATAAAGCAAGATAGAAAATGTAAAGTATTTGAATTTTCTTGTGTTTCTAAAACAAAGGATTTACTTGTGTTTCTAAAAAATAGTTGTCTTCCACCAGTCTAATTTTTTTTAAGAATTACAAAGAAAAAGCTATGACTTTTAAAGTTGGGGTTTTTTTGTTTGTTTGTTTTTAAATAAATTGTGTTACTAGGCAAAATAAAAAAGGCTGAACTCCAGTTTTCTTTACCACTTCACTAGCTACCTTTAGACTAACACAGATAACCGTATGTATTATAGTCTCTTCTGTATCCGTAGATAATGATTGTGTGGGACTTTTTTTAATTTGATACATGCAGCTTAATTATTATCTACTCACTCAGACTGTCATGAATTGTAGAGCAGGCATACTATATACCTTGGATTCTAAGTTCCCCAATTATTTAGATTAAGGGGCCTGGTTAGAGTACACTACAGACATGTAGCCATGGGTTTTCTGATTTTGGAAACCACAATACAAAGAAGAAGCCATTCCCATTGGTCATGCTTCAGCTTTGAGTTAGAAGTGGCCAGGGTGTGCTTTCTACCTAGGAAACTGCCTCCCACAGTTTTCCACAAGTAATAACAATGATGTAGGGGGATTGTCAAGTTTACTATAAGATAACTGTAAAACACATGGCTGCTGTATTTTCCATGTACTTGTTTTTTTCCTCGTGTTTCGTTTTTGTTTTGTTTTGTTTTCTGAAAACAACAGCTTTTTATCATTGCCACTGGGGTTCTCAAGATATATGCGTTTGAAAACTGTTCTGGAAATTGATAGAATCAGTTGACCATATCAGAGGGAAATTTACCTATTCTCAGATTATAATGATATAACACTTTATTAACTCCTTATGAATATATAATCTTGTTAGAAGATTGAATTTATCTTCTGACACTAGAAGTCACACGAAGTTTTGTCAACACTCCCATTCATTAAAGTACCGTAGACCCATTTTGGCATGAACTATGGCCCATGTTTAGGGTTACCTGAACATTCTCATTTGTTTATGTACATAGCAACCATACAAGCATTTATAAAGTGGGAGATTTTTGCAGATGTATAATTTAAATTCTCCAGACTGTGTTTCCTTTCAGGAACTACCCAAGGAAAAGTAAATTAAGCAATAGATATCTGCTTCTTTCAATGAAACTCTGAACTGTTAGGAAAATTTGAGGGTATCAAAGAATGTTAGCAACATATGGATTATTTCATGCCTCCCCCCCCCTTTTTTTTTTCATTTTATAATCTTGAAATTTTACTGATCCAAGTTGTACAGTCCGTTACTTCTTTTGTTGAACATATGTATTGATGTTCTCCAAATGTAACTGTTACACAGCCCCACGTGTTTGGCAGCTAATTCAGATGACATGTTTATCTTCTCTTGATGGAGATAAGATTTATGATAATTTCATCTTCTCTTTTTTCCCCAGTAAATTCCTAGTTTTGACCTATGTTTTTCTTCTCATGGATAAATAAATCACATTTAGGTTTTAAAAAATCTACTCCTCAACTATTTACTTGCAGTTATCAGTTGTGGAGATCCAGGAGTCCCAGCCAATGGCATGAGATATGGCGATGATTATGTTGTCGGACAAAATGTTACTTATATGTGCCAACCTGGTTATACAATGGAATCAAACAGCTCCTTAATTCGCACTTGTACTAGCAATGGCACGTGGAGTGGAGTAATCCCAACATGCAAAGGTACAACATTTATTTTGCTTGTCAACTATTTCTTCTATGACATTTACATCCACTGTTTATTGTAATGAGTCAGCCAAATATTTCCACAGAAATCAAAACTTACTGTTAGTACAAATACATTGAATTTATTTTATTGGCTGTAGGAATGGTGACTTCATCCTTTGCTTCTTTTACCTTTTATATTTTCATACCAGCACAGTATGCTGAACAGTTCTTTGTAGCTTTATAAAACATTTTATTACTTTGCTGCTAAACTGAATTCAACAATATGAAATGATGATTTAATTTTTTTTGTTTGTTAAGGTTAGCATGTCATACCAAAAATGACCTTATATATGTCCCTGGCTTTAGAAAAAGACTACATTCCTCATTTTTCTGTTTTATTGGAAAATTTACTGCTCTCTATTGAAATTTAAATGACTGACAAATCTGAATGTTACAGAAAGACCACCTTATCTGTATCATCAAAACAGTTTTCTCTGAGAAACTCACTTGGTACATCCTAAAACATCTCTCTCGAGTAATTTTTCTCACTCTTCCTGAAACCACAGCATTACCGTTTTGACATTTTCTTCCTGACTTCATGCTAAGTATGTCTGATCTCTGTTCTTTTAAAACCTAGTTGGCTAAATTTGTACTTACTTTATTTTCATCCATCTTCCTTCTGTTTTGTTTTAACAAAGCACAGATACATATCTGCTCAGCAGTTCTCATTTTCCAACCTTGAATTAATTCATCAAAATAGCTAAAATAAATTTCAAATCACCACCCCATTTGCAATTGCTTTGCTTGCTGAGTATAGTTCTCCTAGTATCTTACCAAGTCCAGTTTAATTCTAATTCACCTCTGATTGATGATAAAAAATTTTAAAGGTATTTTTCCAACACATTCTCGAGAATGTCAGACTTTGAGATCTTCTTAACAAATTACTTTTTTTTTTTTTTTTTTTTTTTTCTATTTGTATTGTGCTCTGAGCGATCCTCAGCTTCAATTACAAAACTGATTTTAAGAATAGACCATACTGGTCCTATTGGTTAAGAGTCTGTCTGTCTGCTAGAGTGGCTGTAAGCAAATAGCTAGGAGATTGTAAGACAGAACAAGTATTTATGATAGTGTCACAGCCTCAAATCCTAAAGGTCTACAGGGCATCTAACTGGGAGCAGGAAATCTAACTTTAATTTGATTCAAATGGAACCATACAAAGTAAGGTCAATTTTGGCTTTGATTTTTGAGTATTCCTGATTTTAGGTCATACATCTTTATGGCTTGTATAAACAGTAAATAATAATCATATACAGAATCTCTAGTGTTCTCAGAATCTTGCTGTACTCCACACAGGTCTGTGGGAGTGCACCAGGTAAGTTAATAATCCCCATTTATTTGACTGTGTAGTTAAAAGTAAATTATAATATGCAGTAGTGCGTTTGAAATGTGTAACAACTAGTTCTTAATGTCAGGAGGAAGTGCCAGGGTCTTCTGGTACCATTTAGTTAAGATAGCTGGAAAATGAACTAGGCGGAAAATGAACTAGGCAGAAAATGGATACATAATTTTCACCACAGAAATAGAAGTTACAAATTATTCTCTGACTTTGCTAGTTGGAAAAGGATGCATGATCATCTGCAACTAAATATTCAACTATTCAAGCATTGTTTTTTCTGCAGACTTGCATTTTTAATATACTTTTAGATCTTAAACTGATGCACATATTTATGGTTTAATCTCTGACCAAAATATTTAGAGAGGCATTCTGCCTTGCTGGGTGGTGTTTTGCCTTTTTCACCTCAAATTTCTGATATCAGCCTATTTTCATGCTACTTCTGTCTGATTTCCTAATTATAGACCAGTATTTCTTCCTGTATTATTCAGCTCCAAGGTTAAAACGTACAGATATTTTTAAAAGGAGTAGTCATGCAGCTCTTGGAGAATGCCCACAGATTTTTGCTGCTTGGAGTACTTATTTTGACTTACCTTTATTAAAACATCATGAAAGTGTGGCAAAAGCTATCATGTCCATTTCTGGGTTCTGTTTGGTTGGCTGGTGGTTTGTTTTTTGACTATGAACCAGAGCACGAGAAACAGAAAATAAAAGGGCCTTAAGATTCAGATCTGGTTTACTGGTTGACAAAGGATTATTTGATGATATTAGTACATCCAGCATTCAAACAGCCATGAATGATGCTCCAGAGAACCTTTGTGGTGTAATCAGTTAAGATTCTTTCAATGAAGAGTGTAAGAATGGAGAAATGGCACATAACGAACCTTCTGCAGATCACATTCAAATATACATAACTCTTGATCTAGTGCCTCTGACTTGTTCTGAGACTGCAAGATGACAGATGTCTAAACATAAGTTTAAAGGTTATGAGTGCAGCATTTGTTTTCCTCCATTCTTATGGCCCGTGTTCTCTGCTTTAATTTTAGTTACCACCTTTTCTCATTTGCCCCAACTGTCTCGACTAAATTAAACCATACTAGTTTCATTTCCTTTCTTTCTCTTTTGCTAAAAGTTTCTCTCTTTTAATCCTTTGCTCTTTCTTGTTTATTCTAGTAATTTTGGCCTAAATTTCCTCTCTTTCTCTTTCTTATGCTTTTTTTTTATTATTATTATTTAACTTCTTTTACACCCCTTTTCCTTCATTTTTCAAGTAGCACTTGTCTGTTAGTATACCACTAACCACTGAATAACACTTTATCACTAGTCATATCTGTTTCTTTCTGCTGCTGTCCTGTGATATTTTTCAGCCCTCTCCTCCTGGGAGGCTTAGAAATAGAATCATAGAATCAGAGAATGGTTAGGGTTGGAAAGGACCTTAAGATCATCTAGTTCCAACCCCCCTGCCATGGGTGGGGATGCCTCACCCTAGACTGTGTCACCCAAGGCTCTGTCCAACCTGGCCTTGGACACTGCCAGGGATGGAGCACTGAGAAGTTCTCTGGGCAACCTGTTCCAGTACCTCACCACCCTCACAGTAAAGAACTTCTCCCTTATGTCTAACCTGAACTTTCCCTGTTTAAGTTTACCCTTTTGAACTTCCCCATTACCCCTTGTCTTATCGCTACAGTCCCTGATGAAAAGTCCCTCCCCAGTATCCTTGTAGGCCTGCTTCAGATACTGAAAGGCTGCAGTGAGGTCTCCATGCAGCCTTCTCTTCTCCAGGCTGAACAGCCCCAATTTTCTCAGCCTGTCTTCACATGGTAGGTGCTCCAGCTCCCTTATCATCCTCATCCTCTGGACTTGCTCCAACAGCTCCATGTCCTCTTCATGTTGAGGACACCAGAACTGCACATAGTACTCCAAGTGGGGTCTCCCGAGAGCAGAGTAGAGGGGCAGGATCACCTCCTTTGACCTGCTGGTCACTCTTCTTTTGATGTAGCCCAGTATATGGTTGACTGTACTGAAATACTTATTGTTGGCCTTCTCATTTCAAGAGGTTGCAAATCCTTACATTTTCTGCCTCTAGCTAGAAGCTAAATGTCTTTTTGTGAGGGGTTCTTCATTAAGTAAATACTGACCAAACTGTGCTACTTAGAAGTAGGCTTTCAAGTCATATTTTGAAACAAGTGTCCTGAAATTTCATCCCTAGGCATTAATATCTATCAAAACCTAAGGTGGTTAATAGGAAGAAAGTATTTGACTGTTACCAAGGTAACTAATGATAATTGTACTCTACGTGGTCTAAACAGACAAACAAAATAATTTTGTCATATATTATCAGACGTCTCTTAAATGTTGTACACTTCATAGTCTCCATACTGAGTTTTAGATAGTCTTCCTAGTTGGTTTGATGCAGCATCCTGTTTTATTTAAGACACTCCATCAATCAGCCACTCTCTCCTAAATAAAGGAAACCAGAAGTACTAACTTCAGGAAATGAGGCAAGAATACTGGGAGGAAGATAGCATATCCTGACTGTAATGTCCTCTAAAAAAGGTGAAATTAGCACATATGGTTCTTCTAGTAATTGTGTACACTGGCGATATTTACAGCAGCTGGTCCTAATTATTTTGAATATTATTGCAGCTGTCACCTGCCCAACTCCTCCACAGATCTCTAATGGAAGGTTGGAAGGAACAAACTTGGACTGGGGATTTAGCATTAGTTATGTGTGCTCTCCAGGATATGAACTCTCTTTTCCTGCTGTTTTGACCTGTGTTGGGAATGGAACATGGAGTGGTGAAGTACCTCAGTGCTTGCGTATGTATTTACTTTATAGTCCTCTATTTCTTTATTAAACTATAGTGCTTTTTTAACCCTTTAAAGTTTTCAACTTTTTTTTTTTATTTTCTCCCCCAGCAGTGGTTCAGCTCATTTCAAACCTGGGACAAATACAATCCTTTTGTGTTTTCCAAAATTATAACTTAATTTATAGATTGTGGAAGACATAGAAATATGTGGAAGACAAAGGATTGTAGATCCTTTCTGAGCATATAGGAAGCCTTAAACACAAACACACAAAAGGTATTACAGGCAGTGTGTACCAGATGATCCAAGACAAAACAAGATTAAGAGATGCTGTCTTGTTTTCAGGACCAGCTACATACAGAATAGGGGAAATTTCATTATAATCTTTATTCTTTGCTCATTACTCATCCTAAACTTTCTCTGATGTCACAGAGGGTTTTTTCTGCTGTTAATGTTGACTAGGCTCTGGGGTGATTCCTTGGCAATTGTCTGTATTTCCCCCTACACTAAATTAAGTTACATGTTTTATGCAGTAAACTTTGTTAACCTGAAAGTTACAACACTGATGGATTTTTGAATTGCTACAAATTTCATTATTGTAGCAAATGTGGCTTTTTTGGCTTTCTTGTTAGGTTGGTGTCATTCAACTCATTATTTAAAAAATCTTTTCAAAGAAGTGATTGTGAGGCTTCTGAGAGACATTCAATTGATTGCACTGAAGAAGGAGGTTGTGTTATTTGTAGAATAGCTATACCACTGAAACTCTGTAACATTCTTGAGCTAGGAGTCAGACTGCAAGAGGATAATTTCATATTTGTGGCTTCACAGTTTTTGGAGTTTAATTCAAGCTTGCTAAGTAGCTGAGCTTGCCAGGTAGCTTGCGAAACATTGCAAAATGCAGTTCTCCGTTCTTTTACTATTTTTTTTCATTCTTCATCTCTTCCTTTCAAAAATGTTCTCTGTTTTGGCTATATCCTACTACTAAGAACGCACAACATATAGGTTATATTTTCTTTTTTTCTCTGATGATATTCTCATGCCATCAATAATATTTGCTTAATGGTAGTGAAACTGTATGTGCTGGAGCTGGAACATGTTGAAAGGCATTGGTTCTGGAAGAAAAAGAAACATGACCATTTGTTGTTCAGGTTCTCCAGGTAGAGCTCTTCTAGAGTCCACTATATTGCGAACATCAAAGACCATGAAAAATTATTTTAAACTGTTGGTTTTGATTAAAATATTGTATCCTTACATTATTTTTGGATGCCACAAGCTATTAGTCTTCTTTGAGTTCGGAATACACAGTTCAGCAATATGCTCTGAAAAAGGGTCTCCACCTTTAAATCTTTTAAAAGATAAGGTTAGTTCAGAAAGCAGTTGCCTAGTAATTAAAGTCTGTTTCATGCAAAGATTACATTAACTGAATGTTGTTGATGTGCAATGGTTACCCATTGGCTTGCAAGAGAAATCAATTGGCAGCCAGTGCTTGTCAAAGAGCTCAAACTAGCTGCCATCTGGCAGAAATGAGAGGGAGCTGGTGAAAGTAATTCTCAATGAGCAATCTTTAAGCAGTTCTTGACATCAGAAATTTAGTTCCCAGCATGGTTCCATAGAGCCTGTAGCTGAAGATATGCATGATATAGTTATAACATGGAATAATTACTCAGAATGGAGTGAGGTCATGTCTTTGGTTGAGTATTTGTCATCTGTGACCTAGTAAATTTGTCTGCTTAATTATTCATATAGTAATTTGAGTAAAGGACTGCTGTTTTTATAAACTTGGCAACAGCAAAAAAAAATTCCTATCTATAGATATAATTTGCTCTTAATCAGTTAAATTCCTTTGAAGAAAGAGACTAGCCTCACAGCTTCAGTGTCAGAGCTCCACAGCCCTGTCTCTGCTAATGGTTCTCAGTGTCCTTCGGGAAATACTTCCACTGGGAGTGGGAGCACTCACAGAGCTTCCAGTTTGCTGCAACTTCATTTTGTTCTGTAATCCCCTGTTCCAATATCAGAGGAAAACTGCCATGTTTTAAGATGGTGCCTGGTTTCCATGGATACTTATATAGAAGGCAGATATCCAGTAGCTTTTCAATGATTGGATAAAGTTGACTGACAATTATGTGGTGGATTTTACTTAGTTTAATAAAAAAATAATATACTTACCAAAAAAACATTTTTCAATGTGAGGATTTTTTTTTTTCCTGAAAGCGGTTGGTAATTTGTTGGTGAAAGGAGATATTCAGGAGATAAGTTCAAGCCTCTATGTTAAAAATCAGTGTTTAATATATTTTCAAATTAAGACTTCCACCAATTTTTTTAATGAAAACATAGATTACAATCATGACCTGTCAATCACACAATGAGGTTCTCTTGTGTGAGATCCCCAATTCATAGATCTTTTCATAATTTGGCCTATAATACTGCAGACAATCAATTCCATTTAAAGTTATGAAATTGAATACATTTTTTGTATGCTACAGATTAAGTTTTTTTTCTTCAGCAACATTTGTGTGCATGGATTTCCCATACAGTCAGTGTCTAAAGAAGTAGAAGGCAGGAGCATTTCATGTGAGCAGGTCCTTTGGAAAGCTTAAGATATAAATGACAAAGATATTAGAAATGTATTTTGAAGGTGGTTATTTAAGAGATGTAATTTAAATTTTGTTTGTAGAAGTGAAAGATGATGGTGCAGAAAATTCCACTGTCTGTACAATGTGTCTTTTTAGAAATATGTCATTGTACACATCCAGGTTAGTGTTTTATTTTTTTGTGTATATTACGGCATTTTCTGATAGGAATTCATAGTGTTAGGGAAAAATATAGTCTGATGGCACGGGGTTTACTATATCTGATTGCGTTTCCTGAATCTATTCAAAATCCAGCTTCTGACAATAATCAGTACTTTATACTGCAGAAGACAGAGTAAATTTGCCAGCAGTGAATTCACTTAGTTATGCTATACTATTAGACATAACGAATCTCTAGGTGATAGGTATAAAGTAGAAAGATCAATTTAAGAATATGTTCTTATCAGTCAAGTTTATCCTGCCTAATAACAGATTAGTGTTTGACTTCTAGATGGCTATTGAAATTTATTATGTTGTTTGTTTTTTTTTTTCTTGCTAGCTGTACTAAATTTCAAGTGTTGCACTTCTATACATACCAAATCTTATGTTTCAATGAAGGATGAGGAAGTAAAAATTCATGATTCCTCAAATCTGTCTGACAAAACTTTAATCACAAAAAGATGTTGAACACTTGGTAGGTGGCAGAAGAAAGAAAGCAGAAGAAGATGGGAGATTGACATAAAGTTTTGATACACTCTCTGATTGCTCTCTATAAGAGGATTTGTATATTGATTTGGGTTGGGGCAGAGGTGAATTGTGGATATTTGCGCCTTCATAAAATAAGTTGTGTAACTTTGGGTGCCAACTTTAAGCTACTGACCAAGCCTGCTATGTAGGCATTTCGAACAGCTAGCAAAACTCCTGCAGACTGAAGCAGACTAAAGATTGGCTGTCTAGTCTCCTTCTGAATTCCTATGAAATGTTTCTTTATTTGAACTGAGTTTAATAAAATAAATACAAAATTTGGAGTAACTGCTTCACCGACTTCAGGTAAGTGTTATTTTTGTGTGTATTTTAATAAATGACACTTGCCATTTCTACCATGTCTTTTCTCACAGCAAAGTTTTGTGGTGACCCTGGAGTACCTGCTCAAGGGAAAAGAGAAGGCAAAAGCTTCATCTATCAGTCAGAAGTCTCTTTCAGCTGCAGTCCTCCTTTTATTTTGGTTGGCTCCAATACCAGGATTTGCCAAGCAGATGGCACGTGGAGTGGATCTTCTCCTCGATGTATAGGTAAGGTTACAACCATATTATTGAGATTTCTTGAAATGCTTATTACTTCTTTTCCTGATGAGTCAATTTAGGAGTTTTCAGCTATTATCCTGGTGTTACTCTATGCCCTCTAAGAATCAAGTAATTTTATTTTTGTTTCTCTCATAACCATAGTGCATGTTGTTGAACAAGCTTAATTTTGTAATACATGCATGTATCTCATTAAAATACTATAATTTGTTTTGTCTTTATTGTAACTTTTTTTTTAAGAACCTACTCGCACAGCATGTGAAAATCCAGGAGTCCCAAGGCATGGGTCACAAAACAACACATTTGGCTATCAGGTAAAATATACTATTTTTTTATTAACTTGAATATTCAAATATTTTTATACTATCTCAAAGTCTAGAAACTTTTGATTAGAGGCCCAGAAGCTACTTACACCTTTTAAGAGCTGGTTACTGGAGTTGTTGTGTTTCATTATTTCTAATTGTTGGATTACATTGACCTTGTGTCCCTATTAGCAGTGCACTGTGTGAGAGCCCTGGTGACCAAGTTCTGCTTGGTTTCACCTTGCAGGAGTTCAGCATCTCCCCACCAATATATAGGTGCTCCCTACTGTTTATCAAGTAGTCTTTTCCTCCTTAAGAGTGTGTATACTGTATACCAAACTACTAGTGTAGACATACTCTAAAAAAGCAGTATTTGTTTTGTGTGTGTTTGTTGTTTCATTTGTGGGGTTTTTTTTGTTGTTGTTGTTTTTTTTTTAAAGCAATTCTTTTCCTACATTTTGAAATGATGTGACTGCAAATGAATCATAGCATCATGGAGGCTGGCAGGCGTCTCTGGAGAGCTTCTAGTTAAAGCCCCCTTCTCAAAGTAGGGTTAGCTAGGGCAGGTTGATCAGGGCTCTGCCCATGTGGTTTTGAATATTTCTGGGGACAGAGACTCCACAGCCTCTCGGGGTTACCTGTTCCAAGTTGATCACCTTTACAGTAAAAATGCTTTTTCTTATATACAAACAGAACTTCCTAAGTTTCAACTTGTGCCTATTTCCTCTTGTCTTGTCACTGGGCGCCACTGAAAAAAAGTCTGTCACTTTTCATGCCTCCAGTAACTTTTAATACACACTTGTAAGATTCCCCTTGAGCCTTTCCTTCTGCAGGCCGGACAGTTCCAATTCTTTCAGCCACTCCTTGTATGCCAGGTGCTCTGGTCCCTTAATCACCTTTCTGGCCTATTACTGCAGTATGTCCCTGCCTCTCTTGCACTGGTTGAGCCCAGCACTGGGCCCAGCACCCACTTGAGTCTCATCAATGCTAAGCAGAGGGGAAGAGTCACCTCCCTTGACCTACTGGCAGTGCTCTGCCTGATGCATCCTGATTAGCTGCCTTTGCTACAAGGGTGTGTTGTTGCAAATGGTGTTTGCATATGCTTCTGCTGGAAACAGAATTGAAATTTAAAATGCTTCTGAATTTCTGATTTTGTGAATCACACAAAACAGAGACATCAATGAGAGGTTTATAGGTAAATGGTGTACAGATGCAAAAATGAGCCCTACAATTTGCTAGGACTATGATAATGAAGCTGCAAACAAGCTAAGAGAGAGTCTAAATAACTGTGTTTGGTGTCAGGGCTGAAACTCCAGGCGTGTGAAGAGGACTAGACAGAAGAGTAAGCTAACAGCTCCCTGGTTGAATGTGATGCCTGTCTAGTAGCAGGAGTTAAACAAAAACTGCAGATTGCAAAAAATGCAAGAAAGGGCTGATTAAAATTTGATCAAATTTACAACATGAAGTTAGTTTCAAAAGCAAAGGTTGTAGCTAAAGACTTCCAGTGTTCTGTAGCCAAAAATTTATTTGATTTGTCATTTTGGTGGCCTTTATGCAACACTCCTCCTGCTTAGTGATTGTTTTAGCTATCTTTGGGTTTTCAGTTTCTTCTAGATCACAATCATATGTAAGTGGTAAAAAATTGTCTCAGTTTTCTCCAGTAAATGGAGCACTGTTTCGTGCCAAGATACAGAATATGCAGGGGCAGTCCTTGGGCCAACTTCCTTTAGTTATAATACAACATTATGCTAGAGGGCAACTCTATTCAACTGTGCAAGAAGTGAATCATTGCAGTGACCATTTTCTACAATTTTATTGTTACAGTTGCTCTGACATATTAATGAGCTTTCTGTCAGTGAAGAAGCTAATGCAGTCTTTCTCATTTGTGGTGTAGTTGTAGTTGTGAATGAAAGCATCACTCATGGCTAACATGGAACTGTCAAAATACCAGGCAAAATGTCAACTGATAAATAATTTCTAAAAGCAGTGTTTTTGCTGGCAGACTTTACAACCTTGATCCCACAGTTTTGTTTAGTACCTAGCAGATTTAAACTGTATGAACTGTAATCTCCTTACCTAGACAGCAACTTATCCTCATGCTTGTGTAGTGAATTTGGTTTTATATAGTAACTAAATGTCTGCATGCAATTTCTGGTTACTCTAAATGTGGTTGCTTAGTTATTACAGAACTGAGTAGGAGTATCATTCATCATTCGTACAGATGAAGCTGACTTTAGCTCTTTATTGGGTGGAAACAACAGTGAAAATAATTGGTTCGAGACAAGTTATTGTCTGTAGATCCTGGAAAGAAATAGTGTATCACCATATATTCAGTAATGTTATGATTCATTTAAACCACAAATATATTATAAATTAATTGAATTGTGCTATAATTAGCTTCCTGTATGAATGACTTTTGCTTCATTCATAGCAGAAACTTAAAGAATAATTCTGAATTATACCCAAATACTGAAGATGAGATAGCTGTGATTTTCTTTTGTCTGATGGATCCGTTGTCTACTATTTTAAACAATAGACCAAAAGAGCATATGCAAAATCCAGCGAAATGTTTTGCAGTTAGCAAATGAGTTACAAGAAGCTGTTACTGTTGAATATGTAAGACGGTTTTCTGACTCTTAGTCAGTGTTGGGTAATTTTTTCTCATTTGGGGGTTTGGTGGTTTCTGTTTGTTTATTTTATGTGGCTTTGGTTTGTTTTAACTCTCTTAAATACTTCACACTTTAAACTAATAAGAGTGACTTAAGTAACTTAAGTTTTAAATTTATGCCTCTGTCTCAGAAAAAAAATTCCAGCTGTAGCCTCACAGTAGAATTCAAGTTTTCATATGTGGAGTACTGTTTTAAGTCCTTTTCAACAACTGACAATACCTTCTCTTTTACCTGACTGTCACTGTCTGTCACTTGCTGTTCACAATACTGAGTTCACATTGTGAACTTCCACAGCACTGGGGGTTTTGTCTGGTTGTTTCCCCTAGTCTTAATTATCTGTTTTCCTATCTCATTGACTGCACTGAAAGTTCAGGCATATATAACATAATTCCAGGCTTGACTGAAAGGCATATCAAAACCTGACACATCTGAATGGTGTTTCACTGGTTAAACCGGAGCTTTGTAACAAAGAGGTAACAGAATCTTGCATGGCTTTTACTGTTCAGTGTTGAATTCAGCAGACAGAAGCAGATCAGGTTCTTGTGTGTTCAAGTAACATCAAAATACCAGTTTAGTGCTACTTGAATATCAGGCATGGCATGTAAGTGAGCAGCATCACCTGCTTTAATTGTTATCAGTATGTACTTCTAGGATGTTTACCTTTCAACCAAATATTTTTGGTTTGACGGATCTACCTTAGCAGTGTGTTACAATGAAGACAAATATCTTTAGAACTTAGTGAATGCTGGCTTCATCTGTAATCTGGAAAATAAATTGCTCCTTGGAAAGAAACAGTGGTTTTGAAGTATTTTTTTTGATATATTGCTAGTAACATAGAAAAATGCTTAGCACTTTCATCATAAGCTGTTGTAACACAAGATACTACTGAACTGAATGAACAGTTTAGAACTGCTTAGACCAACTGGTCATATATGTAAGATTTATTACTTCTCATACTTTTCCAGGATATATTTTTGTAGAAATTCAGCTATTTCCCCCTACAGTAAAGCTTGAAGAAAGCCAAAAGGCAGTCTGAATTTAGAAAGGAAAATAGCCACATTATGGTAGTGATAGTTCTGTGTGAGCTCTTGGGTTTTATTTTATGAAATGCCATATGAAACTTGATCTGTAGATGTGGAGCAACTGTGCAAATAATCTCCTACTCTGAATGCAATGCTTAGAAAAACTTCAGAGTTGACTGAAGTGTAGGATAAAATTCTAAGAGAAGTGCTGTGGTACCAGTAGTCCAGCTAGTGTAGTGGTCTCCGTTAGCACAGTTCACATGATCACTGGATCAATAAAAATGAAATTTGCACCTCATCAGACACCACATAGTTTTCCTGGTTTCTTCTACTTCTTGGGATCCTGAGGTCTGTAGCTTCAGCATGGTGTCAGTGGGGGATGTTAGTGTCAGAATCTGGAGTGCTTCGCTGGCAGGAATGTGATTTTGACTTCCCCCCTCCCCCGCCTTTTTTTTTGGTCCCTGTCATTCTTGATTCATTTGGGGTTATTTACAATGTTTCCAACACACTTTTACACCACTCTCTGTGCAGCTCCACATTGTATTTCAATCTACTGTGTAAGGCACATTTCACCTCTGTGATACTTGTTCCTTTTAACCCCTGAAACTTGATTCTGTCCAAGTCTGCATTTCTTCAAAAGACTGTGGTGAGTTTTCACAGCAATGAAGTCACCAGGCTTTTGCTGTCGTCCCAATTTTAGGCCTGTATCTCTCTGTACTGCACCACGCTAGTATAAATAGCTCATACTGCACATAGTAGCTTCTTGTAACTACTATGGATATAAAGATGTGGTTTACCACAGAAAGATAAATGAAGGCATGAAAATCATTCAGAAACACCAGATCACAAGAAAATTTGATGTTACAGCTAAATCAAATAAAAAACCCAAAACCCAAAAAACCCTCCCACAAAACCCAACCAAATGCCACAAAAACAACACGCACCCCACCCCTCCCTACACACCTCCCCCATGCAAACAAACAAACAAACCAAACAAAAAATGTAAACAGAACTCCAGGCAGCTCAAAACACTTTCAGACAAAGCAATCCTCGCAAATTCTGCCCAGAGGACTTGCCGTCTCAATAGCCTGTTACTAATAGTGGCAATATTGTATTGCGGGGCTACTAAACTACAGATACAGCAAAGACTTAATGAGTTGTGTTTTCATTCACTTAAAATGTGATGCTAAAAGTTAGTGAAGAATAACTGACATTCCCTTATCCTCTCAATCCTCTGGCACGAATTGCTGGGGATGGAGGAGCTTATTAGAGTCTCTTCGTATTCTTTGGTAAACTGAAGTCTGAGGAAAAATTGAATCTAGAGTAACTCATGAAAGCCAGAAATATATTATGCTCTTTTAAGGAATTTAAAAAATAATAAGGTTAATAATTTGTTATTATTTTCATAATTATTATACATCACTATACATTTTGTTAAAAAAATCTAGAGTACTATCCTGTTCTTTATAAATGGATGCACAATGACACACGTTTTCTTCTCAGACTGCTATTTCTGCTGTTACAGAACAGCAAATATATGGTCTTTGGTTCTTAGCAAAAAGAAAAGCCAGTGGTGCTGATTTTGGGAATATCTAAACCATAACTGACACTCTGGAACAGCAATATGCAAGGAAATCTATTCTGTTTTTTCAGGATTGCACGCAAACACTGTTGTGTTGTGCTGGTTTGGGCACACTTAGAATCATAGAATAGTTAGGGTTGGAAAGGACCTTAAGATTATCTATTTCCAATCCACCTGCCATGGGCAGGGATGCCTCGCGCTAAACCATGTCATCCAAGGCTCCTTCTGACCTGGCCTTGAACACTGCCATAGATGGAGCATTCACACTTCCTTAAAACTAGCGAGCAAAGATATTTCAGCTGTTTCCGTGGCTCTTCCCACTAATGCTTCTATTCAAACTGTATAAAAAGAAAAATCGAGTAACTTGGAGCATCTCGGACTGGGAATTTTTTTAAGACCATGGAATGCTGTGTTGTAGCGCCACCTGGTGCCTCTAGCACAATAGTATTGTAAAACAGACTTCCCAAAAAGTATTTAAAAAAAAGTATTTTTTTTCTTTTTAATAATTACATATTGTTTGTAAGCTTTATTTGATTTTTTTTTTTAGGAGCAGGGAGCTTCATTCCCTTTTTTCTTGACTAGCATGGCAGCACTTCTAAAAACATCTTCATCACTTGGCTACGGGTCTTGCCACTTACTTGGCAACTTCAGCCATTTCCTTATCTAGCTGATGATACATTTCTGCTACTAAAGAAGTGGTTTGATGTTTAGACAGCCAAGCTTCAGTAAAGCTGTAAGGTAGGCTGAGCTGCAGTGAAGATGGGCAGACAGTGGGAAAATAAAAAAAAAAATCTGTGCATTTTTTGGTTCTGCTCTTCAAGTGAACAGTTTTTCTTCAATATATCTGTCCAGCAGAAGACTCCATTCATATAGGACTAATCCAAAGTCATGAATAGGCAGCTAAGGAAGAGTGAGAAGTTACACAAAATTGAAAAAAAACACACTTCCTTCCTTGTTTCCACTGTTACCTGTCCTGTAGGTCTAAGACTATTATGAACATGATTCTCCAGCTCTTTCAACTCACAAAATTATGAACTTTCTGATGAGTAGAATTACAAGACAATGATTTTTACTGTTTATACTGAATTCATTTTTCTTATCTATTGCTTTTTTATTCCTCTAAAGAGATTCTATACAATGACAGACTTATTTTAGGTAATATACTCCTAAAAAGTAGGTGAAAATTTGCAGTTTTCTGATTAATTCATTAATGCCCATATTAAATGGTGTGGAGCTAATATATGAAAGATAATCACAACTTGAGAACTGTTGAACTCTGAAAAGAAGATGCAGTGTGCTTTTGTTTTTTTCTTTTTTTAAAAGAATGCACCACATAAAATGTTAATTGAAAATAAGTGAAGTAGCATAAATAAGGAATTAAAGCCCTACAGTAGCTACTTCTGGAGTTGCTATTGACTATTTGAGTTTGAAACTCTTAACTTAGTTACAGTTTATAATTAGGTATCTGAGTATAAGGAGCCAACTAACCTCTTTACCTTACTGGCTTCCATGATATACAGCTACTCCACATCACAAAACTATTGTATTTTTTCTTAGATATTTTATATTCAAGGAGATCACAGAGTCAACTTTGAAATAATAAAGTGGAAAGAATGTTAAGTTCCTATTCTGATGTTTATTAAGAAATTACATTTAATAGTTAAGCTGAGGTTTGGTTTTGGTCTGACCAAGGGTGAAAGGGTACTGGTTTTAAAGCCAATATTGAAGTATTGTCTTCTCTAATAATTGAACATTAAACAAGGCAGAAGTTCTTTACATAGCTGTGAACGGCGATTGCTTTGAAAAAGGCAGGTTACTGAAATGAATAAATCTTTCGTAAGACTGGTAACTGTTGTAAAGTAAAGTAATATATTGGTGTTGGTTGTTTTAACTAAGCTCTTTACCACACAGAAAAGTACTTCTATTGTTATTTGGTACAACTGCTAAAACTTGTAGTGTTTTCCCACTTTGTGCTTAATTGTGCAACTGATTTAGTGTATTTTCTTCAAAAATCTAAAAGTAATGATGCAGTCCAGTGAGCACAGAAAAGAATTAAAAAAGGGAATTTTAAATCACGTACTATGTTGAAAAGCTCTTATCTGTAGTTCATGGATTATTATTAAATTTGTTCTGATGAGAAGCTTGGGCTGAAATGGCATACTACAATAAAGTTTCAAATTACTACTTCTAGCAGTGAAACACTGTTTCCCAGAACTAAACTATTGTGAATGAGTCCAGATTTTACCTTTGAGCATCAATTTAAATAAAGTGTTATACATTTAAACAAAATAATAATACACAAAAAAAACCCCAAAACACAGAACCATAAATGTACTGTCATGTAGAGTACAAAGTTTTCAACTTCTTGTTTAAACACGAGGTGATAAATACATTAATACAGGTCACTGAAGAAAAATAGATGTGATCTTTGCACCTTAATATTTGAGTTAACTGCTCAGGGCATGTAATAAACTACTATTTGAATGATATACTTGTAATAGAATTTCCCTGCTTTTGAGGGAAGCTGAGAAATACTTGCGTTTTCATCAATGTCACCTTAACTGGACATACTGAATAAGTTTGCGCAGAAACTGTTATTCACTAGAGAATTCTATTTTCCTTTTCATGGAACACATACACACAATAATAATAATTAAAACCTCATCTGAGATGAATTCCTATTGTAAATTGTAATTTACTTGCATTCTGTTTTCTATTATCAACGTGGTATAAGGAATGATTCTTTTTTACCTCTTGGTGTGAAAAAACAAATTTAAATTTTTACAGGAGCATTATAGTTCCTGATGCATGAGATAGTTTTCTTGACCAGACTTTGCATGTTTTAATGAAATATTTCTGATTAGGATTTGTGAACTCATCCAGCATTTCATAAAGGAGAGTTTAGTTCAGAAAAGGTCCAGCAGAATGTATTGCCCATTTTATCCCTGCCACTTCTCTGGTTTTCTGCAAGATTGCCTAACTGGCTTCTCCTTGGTCGAGAGCTACAAAGCCACATTAAGCTTGGTATCCAGACTCACAGTGCCTCAGCTGTTCTGGGCTGAAAGTGACACACCAGAGACACCACAGGAGATGAAGTTTTGATTCTCTTCCATAGAGGATTTCAGTTTGGTGGGAGAGAATTTTAATGAGAATGAAGCAAATTTTTATTTCATATGAAAATGCTCCATGAAATTACTTTCTACAGGAAGAGCATCACAATTTATTGAGGCTGTATTATGTGAAGGGGAGTACTATCAAATTTGGAAGAAATAAGCCAGATGATATTTCCAAATAACAATATTACTGTATTTTCTGCTTTTCAACAGGTGGGAAATATTGTTCAATTTCAGTGTAAAAAAGGACACCTTCTCCACGGCTCAACAACACGAACTTGCCTTCCTGATCTTACATGGAGTGGAATCCAGCCAGAATGTATACGTAAGTAAATGATTGATTGATAGATTTTTGGTCAAGCAATTGTTTTATCTTGGATATTGAGTTACTGTGACATTGTTATAAAGTTAATTAATATAGCTTTAGTAGCTTAAAGTTAATAAAAAATTACTAACTTAAAGAAGCTAGAAATGTGGTTTTGTGAGTGAATTTTTCTGCAACAGCCTGTAGAACAAAAAGAAAAGCACAACACAAAATATTAACAGACAGAATAACAGACAGCTCTTCATCCAAAGAGATGCTGAAAATATGAGGGTGCAACCCTTCCAAGAAAAAGAGGTGGTGGTGAGAACGGGATCATGTAGGAAAGCCCTGCACATCCCTAGCTTCTACTGGAGCATACAGTTACTATCAGTTCTAGTAAAGAGTTTGAGCTGTTTCCCATCTAAGGAGTCAGGGTATTTTAAGAAGGGGGGAAAAAAAAAGGTTGTAACTGGAAATTTTTGAATCTGAAATGGAGAGAATATGCTTACTTGGGTACAGGAAGTGACATTTAATTTTTTACATCTTTTACAGTTCAGTAAACAGTGCTAATTTACTGAAGGTATAACATCATAGTTAATCTTCCTAGCTTTTCAGCTAGCCAACTATATTTTTCTGGAAATAGTCTCACCTTACAGAATCACTTCAGTGTATGGAGAGCTTATCCACAGAAGAAAACATCATTAGTGTTTCAGATGGTACTAGCATTCCCCCTAAGCAAACAGCGAATCAGTGTGTAGAAGAGTGAGCTCTGATCTTGGAGGTATGCTGTTTTTGAGATAACACAAGACTTTCAGATTCTGGCAGTTGTTAAAGACATAAGACACTGTCATGAGATAAAGCATAGTAGTTAATTTTTCTACCTGATATTTAAAACTTGCCTCACCTACAATTTTTCATAGTGTTCTCCAAATGACCCATTTATTTACTCTTTTTAAATGCTACACAGGTATCATAAGTCATGTAAGTCACAACCCGTGATTGCTTTTAACTATGGTAAGATGTGCGCTGTTCATGTTTGCATATGCAGACAATTTATTTTAGTCATGCAAGTGCCTTTAGGTTGGTTCTTGATCCCTTGAAGTTGAAAGGTCCATTTTCAAGGTGTATTTACAGGCTCAGGACAGCAATTTATAGACTATATAGTAATTTTTAATGTGAATTAAAATGTATTACTGTTACATTTACTGATGCTTTTTTCTTCAAAATGTTAGAAATGAGATAGATTATTTTTTCAGAAATATTTTCTGCATTTTAACTGAAAGATATTTTATCTTTTCTTTGTAGCTCACAGCTGTAAACAACCAGAAACACCAACTCATGCTAATGTTGCAGGAATGGATCTTCCCTCACTTGGTTATACATTGATTTACACTTGTCAGACAGGCTTCTTCTTGGCAGGAGGATCAGAGCATAGAGCCTGTAGGTCTGATGGCACATGGACTGGGAAAGTTCCAGTTTGTGAAGGTGAGCTCTTTTGTTCCCACTGCAGTCCAATAAGATAAAGCAGAATGGTGAGAACTAGGAGGGAGAACATCTAAGACGATAACTGTAATCCTTTCCCTTTTGTGTGTAATGGGACATAAGCTTTCATTACTTGTCTTTCATTTGCATGTTCAGAGGTGTCAGTTCTAGATGCTATTCTGGAAGCCAAATACTTGGGTAACACCTACTTTTAGACTTCTGACTGCGTTAGGTGTGGATTCCATTTTTGTAAGCTCAGTGGAGTAAGAATCTCAGTGGTTTTTGCACATACCTACTAAATTTAGATCAGGATAATTTTATTTACAGAGATTGTCAGCTGCAAGACGGCTATCATAATTGCGGTACTACTGTGATATAGTTGCATCACGGAAACATGGTGGGATGACTCTTACAACTGGGGTGCTGCAATAGATGACTATAAATTCATGAAAAGTTATAGGTAATAAAGGAGGGGCAGTGGGCTAGCCCTGTATGTTAAGGAGTGTTTTGACTGTCTGGAGCTTGATGATGGTGACAATAGGATTGAGTGTTTATGGATAAGAATCAGGGGGAAGGACAAGAGGGAAATACCATGGTGGGAGTCTCTTACAGACCAAACTGGGACGGAGAGCCAAATGAAATATATAGACACCTGGGGGACATGTTCCAATTGCTAGCCCTTGTTCTCTTGAGGGACTTTGACTTATCAGATGTCTGACAGCAAAGCAATACAGTGGAGAAGAAACAGTCTAGAAGGGTCCTGGCGTGTGTGGAAGATAACTTCCTGACACAGCTTGTAAGTAAGCCTACTAGGGAAGGAGCCCTGCTCGACCTGTTGTTTGAAAACAGAAGGACCTGTGGGTGATGTGATGGTTGGAGGCTGTCTTGGGCATATCATGAAATTATGATAAAGAATTTTTGACTCTTGGAAAAGTAAGGAAAGGGGTCAGCAGAACTGCTTCCTTGGACTTCTGGAGCACCCTCAGTAAGTTTGCACATAGCACCAAGCTGGGCAGGAGCGCTGATCTGCTGGAGGGTAGGAAGGCTTTACAGAGGAATCTGGACAGGCTGGATTAATGGGCCAAGGACAACTATATAAGGTTCAAGGGGCAAAGTGCTGCTTCCTGCACTTGGATCACATCTCATGCGACACTACAAGCTTGGGGAAGAGTGGCTGGGAAGCTGCCCAGAGGAAAAGGACCTAGGAGTGTTGTTGACAGCCAACTTAATATGAGCCAGCAGTGTGCCCAAGAAGACTAGTAGCATCCTGGCTTGCATCAAAAATAGTGTGGCCAGCAGGACTAGGGAAGTGATTGTCCCCCTGTACTCTGTATGGTGAGGTCACACCTTGAATACTGTGTTCAGTTTTTGTCGCCTCACTCCAAGAAAGGCACTGAGATGCTGGAGTGCATCCAGAGAAGAGCAACAAAGCTAGTGAAGGGTCTAGAGTACAAGCCTTATGAGGAGTAGCTGAGGACGCTGGGGTTGTTTAGCCTGGAGAAATGGAGGCTGATAGGAGCCCTTATCACTCTCTACAACTGCGTGGCAGGAGATTGTGGTGAAATGAAACAAACATTAGGACAAGAGGAAACGGCTTCAAGTTGTTCTAGTGGAGGTTTGTATTGCATTTTAAGAAAAAATTTCTTCACAGAATGGGTTATTAAACATTGGAATAGGCTGCCCAGGAAAGTGAAGGGTGGAGGTATTTAAAAGACACGTAGATGTGGCACTTAGGGACATGGTTTAGTGATGGAATTGGCAGTGTAAGGTTAACAATTGGACTTGATGACCTTGTAGGTCATCAACTTTTCCATCTTAAATGATTCTATGATACTATTACTCTATTCTGATATTGAAGAAAGATGCCTGAAGTCCTATACAGATGTCTGAATCACTGCATGGAATTATTCCAGAGGGTTTAATATTTTTTATTTGTATATAAGCAACAATATAGAACTTGCAAACAAAATGCAATCAAACTTTGTCCTTGATATTCCAACATTTTATTTTGTTTCTATTTTTTAATACATACTTTGTCATGGCAGGGCATGAAAAACCTCATAGCAAAATCATGGTGAGAATGGTGTTTTTTGTGTAAGACAAGAAACATTCTCAAGTATAGCAACTGTTTGGAATTCTATTTCCTGAATAATTAAAGCACCTCCCAGATTGCTGATACTTAATGTTTCAGATATGGTTATCCCCAGGGTTCTTTTAGAGGCATTAAAAGGCTATAGCTAAACACTGCTACTCAGGAGACAAATAAGAAATTAATATTTTGTATTACTAAAAACCAGGTGTCTTGGCATTACATGCCAGGCAAGCACTGCAGCAAAACAGAATAGAGCTTTGGTAAAGTGTTAGAAAGCAAGCTGCCAGGAAGCTTATGACTTGTTTTGTACTCACGAAGTGTTAGGGAAGGCCAAATGTGATTCATGTGTGGTATTTTGATCCAAGAATTTTCTGCTGATGATATTGAAACAAGTAGTGTTAGTGTCCTATCTGATAGTAAGGAATCTATATGACTTTTTTTTTTAAGTATTAAGTTGTAACTATGAGTGTATCTATCTACCTTGTCATATTACTTACTTTCCAATGTCCTGAAAAATTGTTACAGAAACGAAAAACTTTTTAGGATAAGAGGCTTTGCTTGTTCCTTTTTAGCAGCGGAGAAAGCTAAGAATCAGCAACATATTGTAAAGTAAAACATCTCTTAAATATTTTCAATTTTACCTATTACAGAGGGAGGAAACATCGCTCTGCTATGGAAAGGAGAAGAGTACTAGGTGAAATGGCTCACCTGTGATTGTGAACTGCACAGAAATAAATTGGAATTGGATGAAAAGGAATAAAACATTTGGAGTAGAACTTTAAAAAGATCTGTAGGAGAACTAAATCAGAATTTGCTTCTTTAAATACAAATCTGCAATCTTTAAAATCCTACTCAGCAAATATCTGGACCTAGAAACTTAAATTCCATATATAACTTGGTGTAGTTTTTCATTTGTATTTAAAAATTGTATTTAAATTTAATTTTATATTTAGAATGTCAGTTCTAAGCTTGATTAGAAGTGTATTCACCTTGACAGGGCTGACTGACTTGACAGCAGTTTATACTAAAGCCATTTGGAAAGTATGATCCAGATATTTCTAACCTGAGCTTGATGCAGTCAAAAAACATATGCTGTTGAAGCACGCCCTTCAGGTCAACCATATTCACTGAAGTTCAGAAAATCCCTTTTCAAATGAGGAGGAAATAGTGATTAATCAGTCAATATTAACCGATCATGAGAACTTTAGGCTGAATTCCTACCCCTGCCCTAGTTTCTTGTCAGTTGTAATCTATATACCGAGAACAAGCCTTCTGTAATAAGCTAGAAGCTATTCTTGAGAAAAACATTCTCAATGCTTCTTGCTAAAGTCTCCTTTTTGTGCAGAAAAATACTCAGGGAGAAGGATGTTCCTTTTCTTGTCTGTAGGTTTTGAAGTATCAGAGAGAAAAGACCTGGGTTCAAAGCCAAGATCCGAAATACAAAATATTGAAATAATCACTGGAGCAAGGAATGGAGCCTAGTGTTGCATTAGAGTATGCTACATCAGGAGACAGAATTATGTGTCTTCTTTATAGCCATGTGAATCCCAATTAGTTTCTGCAAAATAAAATAGCTTCAGGTGTAGGAAATTACACTGTTCCATTACATTTAGTTCATCGTCTTCAGTGGTGGGAGAGTTCCTGCTCTAAGCACAGAAGAAATTAAATAAGTTCTCCAAGTTCCAATGCTCAAATCATCTGAGCAATTGGATATGCTGTGGACAGCCTCATTTGTTTCTTTCTGTTGCTATTCTTTAAAGAAACAGTGACCTCCTCCATTAGCAGAAGATTAAGCATGCATCTTTGGGTTTTCAGAGTCTTGAACATAGAATCATAAAATAGTTTGGGTTGGAAGGGATCTTGAAAGGTTATCTAGTCCAATGTCCCTGCAACAAGCAGGGACATCTTCAACTAGATCAGATCGCTCAAAACCACATCCAGCCTTGGCCTTGAATGTCTCCAGGGATGGCACATCTACCACCTCTCTGGACAATCTAAGTGATACCTCACTCACTACTGTTAAAGATAATTAAATTCTGAAGAGAAACAGAATTTAAAATGCTTTTGTTACGTATGTCTTCCTTGTTTGGTGTTACATTGCTTCCAGTCAAAGTGCTAGTGACGCTGCTGTTTTGCATTGATCCCAATTTAAATGACATAACTTGCCTTAGATGACATAACTAGACAACATCTCACATATTAAGCGCATAGTCCAGGACTGTGAATTCTGAACTGTGGATTCTGAAGTGAAAGCCTACACTGCTTGTTGTAAATGTCTTTGTAGCATCCAGGTGACTGACTTGGAAGAAAATGTGGCAATGGAAGAAACCAGTGTTTCTGTGATACTAAGGCTTGATACTGACTGAGTTTGAAATGTCTTACATTCTTTGTAGCAAATAAAACTCCATTTTGAAAATTATTTTCCTTGTTTATGAGTAATATATTTGCTACTGATTTTTGGTTTTGTCATTCTAACAGCTGGTTCCAAAATATTAGTGAAGGATCCCAGACCAGCCTTGGGAACACCAAGTCCCAAACTAAGTGGTAAGTATTTTGAAGTATATATAGTTTTAAACAATTTCTGTAGAAAAGACAGCAAGAATTGATTTAGTGAGACTGCAATGAATGGCTTAGAATGAATAAAGGCTGTTAGATTAGGCATTACGTTAACAGAACAAACCAATTATAAATTAAATTATTCCCCATTGTTTAAGTCAATCTATACTATATGTTATTATTTGTATCCATATACAGTTTCTAACTATTATGTGATAAGGGTTTCATTAGTTTCGCAGATAATCACTGTGTTCTGTATAAGATACTATAATGCTCACCCAGAAATAAAGATGTGATATTTCACAATTTTTTTTGTCTTGCACGTCTTTCATGTATTGCTAATTTGGATTGCTTTACCTAAATATTTCAGTATTAGCCTTCAACTTAGCCTTCAAAAAAGTTAATTTTAGCCTAGAGAAACTAGCTTCTCTAACTCTGGCTAATGGTCAACTCCAGTTTTAACTGGTTTGCTAAAGAAGACTATCTTTGGATGTCCTGACTAGATCCCAGAGAAACTTTTCTGTGTTTTTTAAGAGAGCAATCTTCTTAACTAAAACTAGCCTTTGACTATAACACTATTAAATGTTTTTCAATAATTACTAAAGATTTACAAGTAATTCCTTTGCATAGGGGGTTTTGGGGTGTTTTCTGGAGCTTTTTGGATTTTTGTTGGTTTCTTTTTTCTTTTTTTTTGACAGGTACACTACTTCAAAACTGTTTGTCAGTGATTTACTGCATATTAGTCATACATTTTCATTCAGAAGCTTTTTGTACAATCCCAATTAAGTACAAATAAAGTATATGAAGATCAGTTCTCCTGAAAGTAGAGAGATAAATTTCAGTCAGATAGCAAATCAACAGCATTAGACTCTTTACACCATGCAGTTTCCTTGCTTGCACTTTGTAGATCCAGCATAAGTGTTGGGTTTTTTTTATTTATTATGCCTAATAGACTTAAAACTGGACAGTATAAAGTAGAGAAAATGCTAATATTTAGCATACATTTTGTGGGATGCTTGACTTCGTAAGTGCTAAATATTGCACAATATTTTGGAAATGTTTAATGTCTGTATAGTTCCAGATGATGTATTTGCCCAAAATTATATATGGAAAGGATCTTATAATTACAAAAGCAAGAAACAGCCCATGACTTTGACAGTCACAAGTTTCAATGCAACTTCAGGAAGAGTAAATGCAACACTTACAAACAGCAACATGGAATTGCTGCTATCAGGTATGGGATAAAAAAAAAACCTTAATTTTTTCTGCCCTATATAAATTGATTTCCTGTAATTTTATGCATTTCTAACATCTTTTGCAAACTTTCTTAGCTTATCAAAGAAATTTTCATTCTAGTTAACTTCCTTTTCAAAGGTAGGGATTTTTCAACTATTTCGTTCTCTCACACTTTTTAATTTTGGAGGGGTTTATTATATTTGGAGTTAATAGTCAGTGAGAAGTGAAAGAATCATCCTGATAAGTGCTACTTATCAAAGAATGTAACACCAGTGTGTTGTCAGCATTATTCTCAGACTAAAGCCAAAACACAGCACTGCATCAGCTACTAGGAAGAAAATCAACTCTATTCTATCCAAAACCAGGCCAGCCTGTATCCTTCCAATCCAACACTCCAGTCATAGGAGCCATCCCACCACATCTTCATTGTGCCAATGAGGTTGTAACCCTCCAGTGCCCGCGTCTCACTCTTCCTGTTTATTCCCTGTGCTGCATGGGTTTGAATATAGGCATTTAAGTTTAACTCCCAGTGAAGCCGACTTACTGGCTGGAGTATCAAGAATTCCTTTGAGCTGCTCTTCAAGTGCAGCAACTTTAGTTTAAAGCCCTCTTCACCAGCTTGGCAAACCTATCACTGAAGATGTTCTTCTTCTCTGACGGAAGGACCCCATCAGACCCCGGTAGACAAGGTTTCTCAAAGTGAGTCCCATGATCTAAGTAGCTAAATCTCTGGCTGTGGCACCAGTCCCATAACATCTGTTGATTCACCATACTGAACTGGCCCTTTCAAACTCCCTCCCTTTGACTGGAAGGATTGATGAAAAAACTGCTTGCGCTCAGAGTCCCTTACTGCCACTCCCATTGCTCTGTAGTTCTTCTTGATATTTCTCAGACTGTTCTGGCTGTATTACTGGTGCCCACATGGAACAGCAGTGGATAATAGTCAGTGGACTCTATGAGGCTTAATAGTCTCTCGGTGAGATCTCTGATGAGTCCCTGGTAGGCAGCACAGCTCACTGGAAAGTGTCAGGGCAGCACGTAGGTGCCTCCACACCTCTCCCAAGAGAGTAACCTACTACTATCATCCATCATCTTCTCTTAGTTGCTCTGGTTGTTACACAGGGAGCAGATCTTGCTGCTGTACTGAGCTCCAGTGTCTCTCCTGACAGATCTTTTCTCTTCAGTCTGCAGAGCAGTGAAGCAGTTCTGCAAGGGCACCTCAGGCTTTGGGGGAAGTCTCTTCCTCCTGCAGGTTGCCTCCTGCATGCCATTGCAAGCTTCCATTGTTCTGCATTACTGGCGCCCCTCTCTTCTGTGTATTCGAGTGTAGGAGTTTTTGGCTGATTGGCTGTGGGCTGTGATTCCACTGCAGACTGCTCTTGGAATGAAATGTCCAACTCCTTTTAAACCTCCCTGATGTTACACAGCCTCCTCACAGCCTCCTGCAGCTCAGCCATGCACCACAGGAGGTCCTCCACATGGGCACACTGTCAGCAGGCAGGTCTGCTGCCCGTCCCTGCCCCAGGAGAGAGGTCTGGGCACTTCCTGCAGTCTGAGATCTGCACTGCAGCCTCTCCCTTCAGCAGCTCCCTCTGGGTGGAGGCGTCAACCACCACCAGGGTAGGTGGTGCAGACACCCCAGCTGGAGCTACAACTTTTGCTCTCAAACTAGTGCTCACCATTCTGCCTTGAGGGTCAGGTAAAATGAGTGCCCTTGGCCTGTGCAGACAGTACCCAGTTGCTGGGCTACGAGGACTTCAATTTTCTCCACTTGGCCAGTGGAATGCCCCTCTCTCAAAGAGGTGTCCTCCCTGCATGCCCGTCTGTGCAAACTGCCATGCAAACTGGCATGCAATGCCCTGGGTGATGTGCCACACCATGTTTGCCTGCTCTGTTCACACCACTCCTGGTCACTTGTGCTCCCTAGAGCTGCGCTCCATGGGAGTAGGGATTGGTGGCAATTACTCCTGGCCCTACCTACACCTTGTCAACCACTCTCGTGTAAGCTGCCAGCTCCTGGTGGGTCTTGGTGCTCTTCTGGGGTCTCCCTGGTTCAGGAAACCTGCCCAGTACTCCACGATCCCTGTTTCAAAATCCATATTTTGTTGTGGAACAAACCTGCACCAGAGCTGTTCACCTCAGTGAGTGAGGAATGTCTGGAAGAAAATGTGTCATAATACTGACTGATGAAGAACAATTAAGATTTTTGAGATATTTTCAAATTCAGAAATTTTTAATTTAGCACTAGCTTTTGGAAAATAATTTAGATGTGGATGTTTCTAGTATCATCTTCTTTACCTGATGACTAAATTAGCAATATTGAAAGTGGGAATTCAAAGTTCAGATACACTCTGCCTGATTCAGAACTGTGTTTTCCGTCAGTTTACTGTCAATGTTTGTTCTGTCTAAGGCTTGTTAAAATACCTGTTAAATAGCAACTGTGTGTATAGGGTTTCCTTTCTGTCCTCTCTACAGGCTAAGCAGTTTCCATTGAAATCTTACGATAATTGAAGTAATTTCACAAAAGAGTGCATCTTGCTTAATGAAAATGTTTGTTAAAATGCTACCTATTCTTTTTGTTTTACCCTTTTAAGGCAACAGATTAAATGCTTGTTCTTAAAGATGAAATTACTTCTCTTCTCAACACAAACATAAATTTTAAAAACTGTATTCTACAGGAGTGTATAAAAGCCAGGAAGCTCGGCTAATGCTCCACATATATCTCATTAAAGCACCTTCCCATACATCTGTGAGCAAGCTGAAAGATGAAAAATGGGCTATGGATGGTTTTGTGAGTATATTCCTGCTACAAAAGAGAAAGAAAGACTTTCTTTTTTTTTTAATCATGATGATGTTCTACATAGAAAAACATCCTGGGAAATATCAAATGGAGTCTTGTTAGCAATAGCGATTCATTAAATGAAATCAAAATTTTATTGTAAGATATAGGAAACCAGTCTGAGGGAAAATATGGGAAGTCATATTGTGTAGGCACAATTATAATGCATGTAAACCAGAGAAACCTTTCTTGTACTTCTCATTGAATTTCATTCCAATATATTGAGAATTTTTATCATCATGATATCAATTTGTAATAATATTTTAATATATTAATATAATAGCAATTTTTATCATTAGGCTAGCAGACATGTTTTATTTTTTGGCAGTGTTTTTAGAAACACCATGAAGAAGCTGAACCTTTGTGTGTATGGGAAAAACAAAATAGATTGTTCCAATTAAGCATTAAGCCCCTTGGAGGTTCTGGGACTGAGGTTATGCTGTAAAGGGAGAAGAGAACACATGACTGGGAGGATGAGAGGTGACAGAAAAGGGTGAAAGGAAGTAACAGCCAGGTGACTAGGGCATGTTTAAACCATGAAAAGGAAAGCCCTTCAGAGAACAGACAGGAAAAACAAACATCGCCTAGAATAATGGTAAGGCTGGAAAAAGCTTGAGTGTGTTGAAGGCTTGAGACACTTTATTTGCCAGAGAAGAAAGTAGTTTTTTTCAGAAAAGAAATGGCCTAAAGGTGTCTGATGGTGAAGACATGCATCGCTTTTACACAGTCTCATTTGTCAAGGAATTTGTCTGTTTTCTTATGTTTCACCTACTGGTAAGGCACTGCAGATACGCCAGTGTAGGTGCACATGCCAAAAGAAGAGGTGAACATTGAAATGCATGAATAAATTTATATAACTTATGGCACTGCTTAAACCCTTAAACAGCTTGAAAAACTTTAAAAAACTTAAACAATACATATACTGGTAAAAGGGCTTAAATCCCTTGGCTTGTACAAACTTTAGGCTTCATGAGCATGCTCCTAAGGTGAAAATAAAATCAAGAAATTTACTTTTGGACTTCGAAATGTACAAAAGTAACAGCACAGTCCCTAAATTTCCTGCTATATACACACTGTTCATATTTGGCCAGTTTCTTTTTTTTTTTCATCTGGGAATAGTTAAAACAGGTTGTTTTAACTCAAAGTAAGAAATTCACCTTCTTCAGTGAAAACATAGCTTCAGGTCACTGCTGAAGACATACTTAAGGTTCCCTTAAACTTCCCTTTCTCAAGGAACTTGCCTCAGGATCACTGAATTTAAACCTAAAAACTATTCTGGGAAGCAAGTACCTGTAAATTCGAATACAGTGATAGTTTAGCATGTACTTACCCTAATAAGGGAGATATTCATAGGATCACAAACCTTTCCTCCCTCCCAGAAGTCTTAGTTTTCACTAGCATATTTTGAGCCTTATTCAATATTCTTCTGGTCCAGAGCTATATAATTGATTAATTATTAGGGTAAGCGCTGAGAAAGAAAAAAAGAGGGTGTTTTTCATGGGGATTAACAACTACCAGTGAAGCGTATTAGAATATCTCTATTCCAAATATATGGCTTGTAACAAACTTTCCCCCATTTCATTCAGAGTACTTTTTGATTTGCTGAACCTGATGGAGCAACATACGTTTTTCAAGGATTCATCCAGGGTAAAGATTATGGACAATTTGGACTTCAACGATTAGGTATTCAGCAATTACTACTTCTTTTTCCCAGTTCATTGTTCCATATTCTCTTTTATTATGTCCAGTAGTATAAGGGTATCCACAGGATGTTAACAGTATTGAAATTTTGTACAAAATTGAGATAATAATATCTTTTAAATCTCATTTTAAGTGTTTTGTTAGAAGTTATAAGGAGTTATAGAAGCAGCTATTCTACTGCTTAGAGTAGCTATCATTTGTAATGTTTTGAGCAATGTTTTTCTATGAATATGTGTAAAATGCATTTAGTTTCACAGTTCTACATCAAACTAATAGTTCTTATTTATCTTTTCTTGGAGAAGACAGCTCTGGTAACAGCATTCTGTTGTGCTTTTTAAGAAAAGGAATTTTGTTGACTTGTTTGATGCTGTCTTAAGAAATGTGGTATTTCTCCTTCCACAAGAATTTGAATTTATTAATACTGAATTTTTGAATGATAAAATACCATTGAGAAAACCCTAGAAGAGGAATTACTTCCCACTAATGAAGTGGGTCCTTAGAGTGCATATCTTCAAATAAAATTCCTGCATGTGGATGAAAAACTAGTTTCTTTCAGCTGCAAAGTATTGTCCACTCTTTCTTTTTTTTTCTTTTTTTTTTCAGTAAAACCTGGAAATTCTTTAATTTTTGAGTGTGCTGGAAGGATTTATTAATGGATGTATGAAGTAAAAGCAAATTTTATTTTTTTTTTCACAATTATAAGTCACAGTATAATGCAATACCTGGAGGGTCTTGTTTTTCACTGTATTTGTGTAGGCAAATTGTTTGAAAAGAATTTTTAGAAATACCTTTATCAAGAAATACTTCCTTTAAATTAATATAAAAAGTTATTTCCCTTTAATAACTTCTTAAAAATATTTGAAAGTCATGTAATAAAAATTAAAATGTAAGACTTCCTTGGCAAAGTGTTTTGATAAAGTCTTATGAAAATTGTATTCTTAATTTGATTGTGGTTTTTTTTTATTTTTATTTTTGTAGCTGTAATATTCTTTTTTGTAACATAACAAAAGTACTTTTTATTGGTTTATATCTTCTAGGAACAAAATGGCTCACTAAGGTTTAAATTCTGTACAAGAGTTAAATGTAGTTAATATAATGAATAATATAGTTAGGGAGAAACTTACATTGAACAGATTTTATCTGTTATCTGTTACCATTATTTCATTCACACAAACACAGAAATGGTTTATCTGATGCAAAATTGTTTTGTTTCTGTTCCCATAAAATTTTCCTACCAACGTTTACTTTATTTTTTTCTATATTTTAGTATATAGAGTATCTGTTTCTTTTTGTTTGTTTGGTTGGGTTGGTTTGGTTTTTTTTTTTTAATTTGTATATATTGCCTTGTAAAATCAAGAAAGCCAGAAAATACTATAACCTGCACAATTTTTAAAAGGTCGCGTTAAAGCTTAAAAAATAACTTTGAAGCTGCATTGTTACTCATTTCCTCACATTAAAAAGGTATATATCTTGTCTCGGTGGATAAACCTCAACCATGCAGCAGATCGTATTCTTATTTTTTCTTTCATCAATATCTGGCTTTAGCTCTTGTCAGTTGTTCTGACCTCTTTCATTCATGACTAGCAGCACCAAATACAATCAACACGATGAATTTTAAGTTTCCCTCTTCAGGTGATTTATCCTTTCGTTGAAATCATGTTTGCTTTTCATACATGCAGTATTTATTAATTTCAAATTAATCAGTAATACACAAATTAATCAGTAATAAAATCAAACATATGCATTTATATAATGGACTTTTGGTAACGGAACATTAATGTGTATTAATTGAATCCCATACAGAACTTGAATCCCATACAGAACTATGCAGTAAGATATTTACTGCAACAAAATACATTTGTTGTTGTCCCAACATTTTGCATCCACTTATTAATCAAAGTATGGCATACCACACTACATTTACTTTCCAGGTGGTCTCAGCATAAAGCTGTATGTATACAGCTGGACAAATTATGATGACCCAATCTCAAGGTATTATTGAATTCTGAAGTTTATAGAGTATTATGTGCTGGGTATAACAGACACATATAGGATACATTACATTTCTTTTCTTCCCCCCCCCCCCCCTTATTATTCTTTTTAGGTCTTAACATGTCTGAAGGTTCAAATTCTTCTAATCAACCACATGGTACAAATAGTAGTTCAGTGGCCATTGCTATCCTTGTGCCTTTCTTTGCCCTTATATTTGCTGGTTTTGGCTTTTATCTTTACAAACAAAGGTGAGTACAAATTAAGTATATAGAATTGCTGTATGACTTGGTGGTTTTAATGCCTTCAATCTTTGTTAGTGTAAATAATTTTTTTCTGTAAAACCATTAAACGTTTGCAAGGTATGCAAATCTACCTCCATTAGGTCTGGCATAATGACTGAAAAATCAGTTTGTTGTATTGTTCTATACTTTCATTCCTATCTATTTAAAATGTTATAAATTTCTTGCTTCATGATAACAAGATGGATGCTATAAATTATTGGCATATGGGGAATAATATAATGAATAGACTTTGTGTGTACTTACAGCCGATTGCCTGTATTTTTTTCATATATAACAGAATTATGAGTCATATCTTCAGTAATTTAGTTTAACAACTCCTTTGTTTATTGCCTTGCAAGTATATGCAAGTATTATGCCACTGATAATTTTCATTATGGAACTGTTTCTGCATCTGAAATATTAGTTCATATGTTACATAGCCACCAGTCCTTTCGATTTCATTAGTCTAAATTCAGCTGTTTTGTTCATGTTATCAAGACCAGTATTAGGTCTTTGGATTTATCTTCAAGTAATCTTTTTCTGTAGCTTTAAAGCGTTAGATTACTAAAGAATATTTAATCACTTTAATGACAAGAAAATTCATTGCCTACTAACTGTCAAAATGGTGATTTACACCTGGAAGCCTGATAACAACAATTGTAATAAACTGTGCTGGATAACATTAGTTTAAAACACATACTATCATTTTTAAACGGTACCACTTGTTTTGAAGAGCTTCAGAATATGAAAAAATGCTCATGTAATGCTGTAACTGTGTGCAATAAGCACTTGTCTTTACATTTTATACTGATTTACAATACAGTATGCATTTTGCATAGTAATATAGATGAAATGTTTTCAAGGGGGTTAATTTTGATATTTTGAGTTAGTGAAGAAGAAAATGTTTCAGCTATAAAATCATTCCTGACAAACTCGTTGAGTCTCCAATGGAAAACGGAAATCTCAGTCATCTGGCTGGGGAATTAATGCATTTTTTACAAGATTTTGTTGTACTCTTAACTATTTATCATCTGATCATCCAAATGGAAATGCCTACCACTTCTCAGGTTGTTAACTAAGTTTTTTAAGTGAACACCATTCTAAATGAATCATAAATCCTTTAAACTTTGATGGAATAGTAACTCCAAGCACACATACTGTAAAAAGAACTCAAGATGTTATCCTTGTTCAGATTATTAAAGCACATGAAGTCAGCGAGGAAAACTGCAGTTACAAACAATCTTTGTCTTTCCTCTACAGGACTGCACCTAAAACACAGTACACTGGATGCTCTGTACATGAAAATAATAATGGACAAGCTGCTTTTGAAAACCCCATGTATGACACAAATGCAAAGTCTGTGGAAGGGAAAGCAGTACGATTTGACCCCAATTTGAACACCGTCTGCACAATGGTATAATGTGGTAATGATATGTCTTCAAAGTCTGGAAACTGACACACAACACAGTGCACACACAGCTCACTGATTAAAAAAAAAAATAAAAAATTAAAGCACACTTTTCAGGATATAGTGGGTCACCTTTTCCTGAGAATGATAGACAAGAATGGGTTGTGGTTATTTTATTTTGATTTTGTTTTTCATAAACTGGATCAGAATTCTTCTTCGTGTATACCATGGAGAGTTTAAAAAAAAAAAAAAATTGCTGCACTCCATGAGTGCTACTCACAGTTTATTTGCTTTTTTAAAAAGGAGGTTATTCTAAAACATAAAAAATATTTGCATATATTGGAGGAGCATCCACTATCAGTATTTCTGTGCTTTATAAAAACTATAATAGAGGGATTGGGTTAAAAAATGTTATAGGTAGAAAATAAGAGCTATACTTACAGGAGACAATAGATCACTGACTTCTCTTTAACAGTCATATGCTACATATTTTTTATGAGTTTGTACCTTTTTTTTCATTTATTGAGCCCGTTTAGTATTTATTTTTCTCAGAACAGTTAAGTTTTTAAGTCCAGGATGTACTAGTTAGAACTCAGCAAATACAACTTACTATTTTTGTGTCACAGAAGAAAAAATAAAGTATCATGTTCTTATTAATGAACTTCCTTCCCTGCTTCACATCTTCCTTCATTTTTTATGTTCCAAGTCGAGCTTCTTTTCTCTGTTTCCATTAACAATACCCAAAAATGGTAGTAATGTCTACATTTCTTCTGTCAATCATACAACTAGACAAATTTTGCTATCAAGAAGCTAGTATGAATTGAGCTTCGTCATGTGGCTATATTCCTTAATGTTGAAGACCATTCAAAAGAGTGGCCATCCTACATTTTTTCAAAGGTGAAAACATAATGATATTTCCAATTAAAAAGTGCAGTTTACAATAACATTAGTAATGATATCCATAGATCAAAAATTTAGGAGTCCATTTTTCAATACATGTTAGTTAATCCTAGATTGTATCACATTAGTTTATTCCTTCAGCATTTTGTCAAAATGAATGCACAAAGCATGGTGAAATCCCATTGAAGTTGGTGGATTTTAGCAGACTTAATTGAGCTTGGGATCAGACCTATAAGGCAAGAGGAAACTATAATTTGAAAATACCATGTTTTTATGTCTTTTTATCTATGTATTCCATACTTTATGGAAACAAATCCTTACAGCTAATGATTTAAAATTTAATATATTACCATAGTACAATGAAAAGAAAAGAAATATATATACATATAAAGCCATTTTTTATTAGGGACAACACATTCATTTTAGGGACAATTCAGATTCCACAACCCTCAGATACAAGTTTTAGACATTCCAGAATCACTTCTTAGGAAACTGAATTTTTAATTTAACAGTTATTTCATATCAGAATTGTTCCGTGGCAACTCAGTAATTTATTTGATGTAGGTCATTGTCTTCCATTCATAGCATGATTCACAAATGCTGTGTGTTAGCCAGTGTGAATTATCTGTTATTGTCCCTTCAGACATTAATAATTCTGTGAAAATCTAAAGTTTTTATTACCGTAATAGAGAGTGCCTACCAAAAATCATTGTACCCAGGATTGCTGCTTGGATTTCTATAATGTTTGATGAATTTCTTATAAACCATTTTACAACACTTTTTTTTGAATATTCATACAACCTGTCAAACTGTATTCTACTAAAAGGATGCTGTTTTATATTTTATACCATTGGTTGTTATTTATTCTTGTTTATTCAAATGACTGCAATAACTATGATTCATTCATTAATGTTACGGTTAATACATTTGAGATCGTTTAAAATGTTTCTTCTGCAACTGGCTACTCCTCTTATATTAATGCATACACTTTTGTAAAGAAGTATATTTTTATGAAAAAGGATTTGTAAAAGTATGATGTAAATTTTCAGTGCAATGTAAACAAAATAAAAAATGGACAATTGCTTTTTTAACCATGTTTCTTCTTTGGAAGATGAGGTTTAAATTCATTTCAGTTGTGGAGCCGAGAAAATAACCAAAATAATAATTCAGATTTGGTATTTTTGTGGATCTTAAAAATCAGCTTATTTTTTCGAAACCTTCCTGGTGATTTTAGGTGAAGTAGCAAGAATCAGATTTCTTTCACAAATAACAACAAGCATAATGTGTTATGTTACGTATTTCCTGAGGTTTATGTTCTCTTACTTGAAGGAGGAGATATACCAAAAAAAGGAAAAAAAAAAAAAAAAAAAAAAAAAACCTATACTTGTCAACCCACTGAAAAGCACAGAAAATCTTCTTTATTTTAAAGCGAAATGAAAAAAATCTAATCCTCAAAGTTGTAGACAGCCTACTTTGCACATGAATTTTGCTACCTTCTTCTGCAGGAGTGTAGAGGACGTACATATTAACAAGTAGTACCAGTGCATACAGTATTTTCTGTCATTATAAGAAAGCAGTGTTTTCTTTTAATGATATTGAACTAGAGGATAGGATCTTAATTATTTTACTGTAATATTAAAACTGTCTTTTAACTATCTCTTTTGCTTGCAAGCATGGAAAGCAGATGACAAATCCTGATCTGAAATGCTATTCATAGGATAACCAGTGAAAAAGAAATTGAAATTCTTTTATCAGTTTCATGCTCTATATAAACTGGAAAGGCCCATTCACACCTATGTTGAAATCACTGAAGGCTGTGTTGTTAAATACTTCGGAAACAGGAGCATGGAGTCACTGTAAAAATGATATTGTGAGGATCATGCACTGTTTTTTTGCAGGGGTTCTAGAGCAAATTGGTTAATTCTCAACAGCAAAAGAAAAATCCTGTTTCACAGTGGCCAAACTTTCATATGCAACCCAGAATCTGAAGTTTACTTTTTTTTGGTTTATGCATTATATGTTTTAACATAAAAAAAGTAAATGGAATTTACATAGAACTTGTCCAACAATTCTATTAATGATCAAGCTAGTGTCCTCTTTGTGCTTTTCAAGATTTATACTGACTTAATTTTAATAGAGAATGAACTACTCACAGTAGTTTGTTGAGTTTCCATTCATAGAACCGTAGAATCATAGAATAGTTACGGTTGGAAAGGACCTTAAGATCATCTAGTTCCAACCCCCCTGCCATTGTTGGGTTGGTTTTGTTTTTTATTTTGTTTTCAGTTTGGGGTGTTTGTTTCTTTGTTTATTTGTTTTTTTGCTGTAGTTCCTGAGCTGTTTGACTCATAAATCGTTTATGTGTGAACTGTTTAATTTTCTAGTGGCAGAGTGGTTAATTTTCATTGAGGCATATGGAATTTCTTGACTGTTGGTTAACATAGTCTACTCACTGTTTCTTCTTTTTCCCAGTAAGATAGCTGAAATTAATTAGACTCTTCACTGTGAGAGTGGTGAGACACTCGAACAGCATGCCACAAAAAGTTGTGGATGTCCAATTCCTGAAAGTGTTCAAGGCCAGGTTGGACAGGACTTTGAGCAACCTGGTCATTGGAAAGTGTCCCTGCCCATGGCAAGGGGATTGAACTAGATGATCTTTAAGGTTCCTTCCAATCCAAATCATTCTATGATTCTATGATGCTATGATTATTGAAGCAAATGCACTACAAATGAAATCAGAAGTATAAATTTACAAAATTAAGCAGGACCAATACTGAAACATTTGATTATATAAAAAAATCACTGGAGTAGCTGTGTTCTCCATTCATTATTTTCTTATGCTGAACCTATGGCAACTTAATATCCTGACTTGCTCAACCAGAAGTAAATGTAGCAATAGTTCTGAAAAGTAAGTCTCGTAATTTTGTGAAAAATTATTACTGTTGAAAACATGTATCTTTCTCTAGCAATTATTCAAGTATCCAGTGAATATATGATTTTGGCATACAAAATCATACCAAATCAGACATATTAAGCTGACTAGGTCAAAATACTTCTTTGTCTGAATTATACTGAGAACACACTTGAAGAAAGCGCCCTAGCTCCCAAACAGAATGAAGAGAAGGTAACTAATAAGAGGAGCTGCACATCAATTCTAAGGTAATACCTTAAACCAACATGAATTAGTGTTCAGAATTTTATGCTCTAGCTGCATGTCCACATTTCTAAGAATATACATAATGTTTATCAGAAGGAACTTTGGTCTGAATTACCTAGTAATGATAAAATATTTTATATTCCTAAAATAAAATAGGCTGTGTACGAGCAAATTACTTATATAGTCATCCTCTTTTCCAGTACTTAAACGACAGGAGATTATACCTGAACCTCTAAGTATCCTGTGGTGATTCTTGTGAGACATTCTTCTTGGTGCTTTATCATGTTCTGCAATGATCAGAGTTTAGTCAGTGAAGTGCTAGAAATCAGAAATTGGAAAATGGAAAATAAAAAATAAAACCAACCTCTTCAAATTGTGAATAGATTCTTCTATAAAAGAATCAAAATACAGAAGGATTCTGCTCCCATGTGTCAATAGAGGTATTTGTGAATCCATGGGGAACCATCACATTTATCATTAGCCTACCAAGAGAATGCCCAGAAGCATAATTTGAGTAATGAGTCCCTAAGATTATTTCTTTTATTTTCACTTGTACATTTAGAAATAGATTGATGCTAGAAAAGTGGTCAGAAGACCCTAAAGATAAAACATACAAACAAAAAAAACCAACGCAAAAGTCTGGGAAAGCATAAAGGAATAAACAGATTGATGTTCTATGTTAACATGCTAAATGGTGTTATATTTGATCAGTGATTCTGAAACCAGATGAGTAATATCAGGCTGATGTGACTTTATCATCCAGGCCCTCAGAGCAGCTCAATCTGTTCATTCCACTTATATCTTGGCAACAGGTTTTGTTACTCCACCTCATATCCATTGAATTATTTCTTACCTGGTTTGGAAACTTGTTCAACCCAAAAAAATTTTGAAGTGGGACAAAAATTAGAAAGTCTTTGTGAATAAGGTCCATCTTATTTTAGTGATCTGC